GGAAGAAAAATAACCAGTTAACATATATTTAACTAAGATGCAAACAGTAAAATAGCAACCACATATTTGATGCAAAATCCATAAAAACATTTCAATAGAATAAAAAAGGTTTAGGGTAATTGATCAGTGTTAGTGCAATAGAATGGAGATTTAAAATGTCAAGGTACAACTTGTATCAAGTAAAAATTATTATAGCTTGATATTTGAATGGGAAAAGAATCCTTGTAAAATCTTGCCAAATTAGGAAAATACAGCCTAAAGAAGCCTTCTCATGAAGTACCCTAGTATTGTACCTACCAAAAATAGTATTTATGCATGGATTGGTGCTTCAAACTGAAGATCAAAATGTAGTATCTGTTCTCTCTGAAAGTTATTACTCTAATATTTTCAATACATCAGTCAATGTTTTTTACAATAGCATTGATATTAAACAATTTTGACAAAATTTTCAGGATCAACATTTATTTGAGCAATATATAATGTGAGTTACAGTTTGTTTTTATTGGAAATAAATTCAATAACTTATTGGGTGATGTGAAATTAGGCTCATTATATATATATGCGAAGAAATATAGTTTTAAGATGTGCTATAGTTATGGAATAAGTGCTCAATATCAGAGATAGAGCGTGTGTAAATATAAAAGTGAAAATAACAGAATAAACTACAACAATCAACCCCAAAAAAGATTAAATAGCTTTAATTATCTTCCCAAACCAAAACAAAACTATTAAATAAGTGATATAAACAAATTTTTACTATGTTATAAAAACACCGATTAAAATAAAAAATAAATAAATATATAAGATAAGAAATAAAAATAAAAATAAATAAAAACAAGCAAAATAATTTAACCCAAATAAACAACTTCCGGTAAAATAACCGCCAAAATAGACTACCCACAATGCACCACTGACCTGCATATATAAATAGCCAAGAAAAATAACAGCACTCATGGCCTGACAATTGCATCTAGCATGAAACAGACTGTTGCCTCTAAGTGTTGACTTCTACGTTCACTTTTATATATACAGTGTAACCCGGATATAAGTGAGTTGTCGGGACCGGAGAAGAAGTCTCTTATATCCGGGTTTGGTCTATTTTGTTTAGGTAAGTATGGCTCTAATTTCGGACCAGAGAAAATCTCTCTTACATCCGGGTTACACTATATATATATATATATATATATATATATATATATATGTATGTATGTATGTATGTATGTATGTATGTATGTATAATCTAGTTATTGATATTTATTTTTTTAATTTTCAGCTCTGTCCTGGGTTGTCAGAAACATGTAACCTCATAAAACAAAATATTCCAAAATTATTGAGTGATAGAAACAGGATAATGAAAATAACAAAAAAGTGAGACAGGGATCAAAGAACAATAAACATACAGAAAACATTGACAAGAACAACAAAAAAAAAAAAAATGGCTTTAATAAAATTTCTAAAAGATTTGAGAAAAATTAAAAGATTTCTAATCAAATAATATGTATTGACAAACAAAAAAATATTTGAAGAAATAAAGATAAGTAGATGAGATGCAGAGCATTAAAAAATTGGCTGACGATATGAAAGCAACCAAACTACCACCTTTAAGTAATTGTCACAAAGAGAAACGTAGTTAATTGAAGAAGTACAGGAAAAATAATCTCTCATCAGTAACTTTTAATGATGGATGAAGAGCTATATTGGATGGACTTGATGGCTAGGTAAGAAGTTGGGTCCTTCATGAAAATATCAACCAATGGCTTAAAAAGGCAACAGGTTTAGTGGGAAAATAGTATTGTATGGTCCTTTCAAAGTTGATTATTGTTATGGTATATATTCATGTAAGATAATGCACCTTCATATTTAGTAAAGCTGACTATTGTCTGTCTCCATACACCTATGAAAAAATATTATGTGCTAAAACTGACATGAGGTACTGCTCATATAATTAAGTACATCATCAAAATTTTACAAATGTTGGTTGGTTAATACCAATTTCTTTGTGAAAATTGATTTAGATAAAAAAAATATCTGACCATTGTGTGTGTATACACACATAACTCAATTACACCTATCAAAATATGTAAAACATTACTCAAATTTAATGTATTTTAAGGTAACCGAATTTATGTAAAAAGTGTTCAATCGATAACAGTAAATACTCAAAGGATTTATTTCCTAAGATCATAAATCCTTTTGAACTATTTATATATATATACTATTTATATATATATATATATATATATATATATATATATATCAGCATTTTGTGTTAGCCAATAGATAAAAATACTTATTTGAAATGCAAAATTTTATTTACTGAATGATGATGGTGGTGGTGGTAACTTCTTGTTGTGTAATTAGAATGAAAACATTTTTTCTGTGCAGATATAATCAAACTACAGACATTTGTATGAAATATCCTGAAAATTTGAAATTAATGGCCATGGTGAATTTAAAATGGTCTGTACAACTGATTTGATGAATAAAGAGAAATTTTGAATAATTTCAGAGTTTACAAAAAGTAAAACTGTGACAGAAATTTCGAACATGATCAACAAGTGTCAGTGAATTGTGACAATGTTTGTTGAAAAATCTTGGATGACTGATGTTGGTTTTCTAAGAGCAAGCAGAAGTCCAATCTACATTCTAAATGAAAAGAGGAGATAAACTGTATGCGTTTTTCAGATTAGGACATTTTTACGCAATGTGGAAGAAGTTTTGGCTGCCTTGGCCTCTTTAAAAAAAACAATCATCCATAAAGAAAATCAGATGAAATGAGCAGCAAAACACATTAAGGTTGATTTTCCAGTCATTCTTTTTACTAATCAGCAATGATCCTAATTGATGACACACTCAGAGGTTGTGAAATCAACAAATGCTGCAATATTTGAGCTTATAGGGTGTAAAGTTAGTGACCCCATGATGCATTTTAGAAAATGTTAAGATGATAGATCAGGCACACACTGATTATTTTGAAGTCACATAGAATTATAATTCAAAATGAAGGTAAAATCTTTCAGAATGACTTTGAATAATCTGTGATGTTCAGTGAAGGAAAGTAAACAAAATTGGTTTCAAAGACATTCATTTCATGACGTAGCTTGATTCTTCACTCAACCATAATCTGAAGAGTAAAGGTTTACATCACTGGTATATTGCCATTGAGCAAAGATGAATTTTGGAATTCTATGGAGTCTGTTTCATCAAAAACAAAGAAACAGTTCACCAAATCAATACGTAAATAACTAAAAAGAGTTTTAGAGCACAAAGCGTGTTTGAAATTATTTTAATGACATTTTTCTTTTTTTTTTGTTGTGGGAAACATCTGCCTTTGTAAACTTTAAACCATTTGAAATTATAATTTTTAATTACAAAATTTCCTGGAGTCTCAATAACCTAGCTAATAATGTGAAACTTGGCAAATTTGGTAAAGTATATAAAAATTCCCATATTGTAAGAATGATGTGTAATCTACTATAATTTATAGTATATGAAATCACCTGCCTATTAATAGTACAAATATTTCTGTGAATACCTTCATTAGTTTCCTAAAAATTAAGAAAAATTAAAGTGGCTAATAATGTGAGCACACACACATTTATAACAAACCAAGCTATTGGTAAAGCATCAAAGAACAAGTCTACAACACTAAGCTTGTCAAAAAAAAAAAATATATTAAGACTAAGAAAAAAATATGATAGAAAAAGACATCTACTTATACAAAAAGCTGAAGTGTTCAATGCTTTTAGAAATTAAACTAAAACAGAGAAATAACACTAAAAAATTCAAACAGTTTTATCATTGCACTCTTGTTTTACTTTAGTGCTGCCCTTCTTCTCAGGACTGTAACATATTAGACACAATATCTGAAAGTATAAAAATGGTTTTCTCTCTCTACATTCATCTATGAAAATCTTTTGCTCAAAAAAGTTATTTACCAATTCACATGAAGACTAACACAAAGGAGAGAATGTTCCATTGTGGAGAGGGTTTCTTGCAAAACATTGCATTGAAGAAACATTTGCTTATACATGTTTTGAAAGATTAGACTTGTTTAAATTTAGCCTATAGTCTCAGGGGTTGATAAAAGCTTTTGAAACTTGACAGGGTTTTTAAAAACTTTCAGGCCAAGATAAACTAAGTAAATTTATCATTATGAATTCTATATATAGTGGGTACATGTGTTTGGTGATTTTAATGCTCATCACATCAAGTGGCTTAATCATTCTACTATTACTGATGTTGCAGGTATTTAGACTGTCAGTTTTTCAGTTGCTCAGTTTCTCAGTCATATCGTGGATTTCTCTACTCATTTCCGTAATAATTCTGATCAACATGCTTCTTTACTTAATTTGTTCCTTACCTTCTCTCCAGGCTTTTGTCAAGATTCACAACTGTCCTCTTGACAATTTGGATCGTGTAGTATCTGTTGATATTTATTTTGGGTTGTCTATTAGACATGAATGGCCTATTCACAAGACATCTTCCTGTTACCCACATACATATTGCAATTCATTTTTTATTTTGTGACATGCCTTGCAGTGAAATTTTTCTCTATCGAGAATTGTGCTATTGAGGTTCTGTCATAGGTAAAAGCAGGTATTGATGCTTTTGTGCCTTCTCATAAATATCAGGTGAAACCAAAATCTTGGTTCCCACCTGCCGGTTCAGCCACTATAGCTGACAGGAATCTGGCTGTACCAATGTGATAATTCTGATCCTCTGTGTCTGCTCATAATAATTATAAATGTATCTTCAAAGAGGCTGAGACTTTGCTTGCTGGTAGAATGAGATACTGTATTATCCTTTAACAACTTTGTTTCTCATTACTACTAACATCTCTGTGAGTGTGTTAAATAAGTCTTTTACCCCCTTCCCCCCACACACTCTTCAGTCAATTTAAGGTGTTATCTTCTGTTGATAAAGTAGAAAGTTTTGCTTGTAAATTCTATCCTATTCTACTCCTGACACATCTGGAGTCTCTGTGTCGGGCTTGCCAATTACGGCTGAGACTCTGTGTCGGGCTTGCCAATTCTGGCTGAGACTCTGTAAATGAGATTGCCAATTAGGCTGAGACTCTGCTGGGCTTGGTCTACGGGCTTGCCAATTACGGCTGAGACTCTGTGGGGGGCTTGCCAATTACAGCTGAGACTCTGTGTCGGGCTTGCCCTTTGGCTGTCTGTGTCAGGCTCATTACTACTAACAACTCTGTGAGTGCCAATTCTGGCTGAGACTCTGTGTTAAAGAAGTCTTTTGAGACTCTCAGGCTTACAGCTGAGACTGTGTCAGGCCCCACACACTCTGTGTCAGGCTTGCCAATTACAGCTGAGACTCTTTCAGACTCAATTTAAGACTCTTATTTGCCAATTCTGTTGCCAATTACGGCTGAGATAAATCAGGCTTGCCTGTGAGACTCTGTGTGTTTGTCCAGCTGAGACTCTGTGTCGGGCTTGCCAATTCTGGCTTGGGAATTCTGGCTGAGACTCTTGTCAGGCTTGCCAATTACAGCTGAGACTCTGTATGCCCTATTCTGAGACTCTGTGTCGGGCTTGACAGCTGAGACTCTGTGTCAGGCTTGCCATCTGGCTGAGACTCTGTGTCGGGCTTGCCAGTACGGCTGAGACTCTGTGTCGGGCTTGAGCTGAGACTCTGTGTGGGCTTGTCTGAGACTCTGTGTTGCCAATTACGGCTGAGACTCTGTGTCGGGCTTGCCAATTACGGCTGAGACTCTGTGTCAGGCTGTGGCTGAGACTCTGTGTCGGGCTTGCCAATTACGGCTGAGACGGCTGAGGCTGAGACTCTGTGTCGGGTCTGGACTTGCCAATTACGGCTGAGACTCTGTGTCGGGCTTGCCAATTACGGCTGAGACTCTGTGTCGGACTTGCCAACTACGGCTGAGACTCTGTGTCGGACTTGCCAACTACGGCTGAGACTCTGTGTCGGGCTTGCCAACCACGGGCTGAGACTCTGTGTCGGGCTTGCCAATTACGGCTGAGACTCTGTGTCGGGCTTGCCAATTACAGCTGAGACTCTGTGTCGGGCTTGCCAATTACGGCTGAGACTCTGTGTCGGGTTTGCCACCACGGCTGAGACTCTCGGGCTTGCCAATTACGGCTGAGACTCTGTGTCGGGCACGGCTGAGACTCTGTGTCGGGCTTGCCAATTACGGCTGAGACTCTGTGTCGGGCTTGCCAACCACGGCTGAGACTCTGTGTCGGGCTTGCCCATTACGGCTGAGACTCTGTGTCAGGCTTGCCAACCACGGCTGAGACTCTGTGTCGGGCTTGCCAATTACGGCTGAGAGAGTCTGGCTGAGACTCTGTGTCGGGCTTGCCAATTCACGGCTGAGACTCTGTGTCGGGCTTGACGGCTGAGACTCTGTGTCGGGCTTGCCAATTACGGCTGAGACTCTGTGTCGGGCTTGCCAATTACAGCTGAGACTCTGTGTCGGGCTTGCCACCACGGCTGAGACTCTGTGTCGGGCTTGCCACCACACGGCTGAGACTCTGTGTCGGGCTTGTACAGCTGAGACTCTGTGTCGGGCTTGCCAATTACGCTGAGACTCTGTCGGGGCACCACGGCTGAGACTCTGTCACTGGCTGAGACTCTGTGTCGGGCTTGCCAATTACAGCTGAGACTCTGTGTCGGGCTTGCCAATTACGGCTGAGACTCTGTGTCGGGCTTGCCAATTACAGCTGAGACTCTGTGTCGGGCTTGTGTCTGGGGCCTTGCCAATTCACGGCTGAGACTCTGTGTCGGCTTGCCAATTACGGCTGAGACTCTGTCGGGCTTGCCAATTACTGGCTGAGACTCTGGGCTTGCCAATTACGGGCTGAGACTCTGTGTCGGGCTTGCCAATTACGGCTGAGACTCTGTGTCGGGCTTGCCGGGCTGAGACTCTGTGTCGGGCTTGCCAACCACTGGCTGAGACTCTGTGTCGGGCTTGCCAATTACAGCTGAGACTCTGTGTCAGGGCAATTTGAGACTGCCAATTACGGCTGAGACTCTGTGTCGGGCTTGACTTTACGGCTGAGACTCTGTGTCGGGCTTGCCAATTACGGCTGAGACTCTGGTGCCGGGCTTGCCACTCACGGCTGAGACTCTGTGTCGGGCTTGCCACCACTGGCTGAGACTCTGTGTCGGGCTTGCCAATACGGCTGAGACTCTGTCGGGCTTGCCACCACGGGCTGAGACTCTGTGTGCTTGCCAACCACGGCTGAGACTCTGTGTCGGCTTGGACGGCTGAGACTCTGTGGCTTGCCAATTACGGCTGAGACTCTGTGTCGGGCTTGCCAATTACGGCTGAGACTCTGTGTCGGGCTTGCCAATTACGGCTGAGACTCTGTGTCGGGCTTGCCAATTACGGCTGAGACTCTGTGTCGGACTTGCCAATTACGGCTGAGACTCTGTGTCGGGCTTGCCAATTACGGCTGAGACTCTGTGTCGGGCTTGCCAATTCTGGCTGAGACTCTGTGTCAGGCTTGCCAACCACGGCTGAGACTCTGTGTCGGGCTTGCCAATTACGGCTGAGACTCTGTGTCGGGGCCAATTCTGGCTGAGACTCTGTCGGGACCAATTCTGGCTGAGACTCTGTCGGGCTTGCCAATTGCCACTCACTGGCTGCTGTGTCGGGCTTGCCAATTCAGCTGAGACTCTGTGTGTGGGGCTGAGACTCTGTGTCGGGCTTGCCAATTACGGCTGAGACTCTGTGTCGGGCTTGCCACGGCTGAGACTCTGCTTGAACGGCTGAGACTTGGCTGCCTACGGCTGAGGCCTGAGACTCTGTGTCGGGCTTGCCAATTACGGTGAGACTCTGTGTCGGGCTTGCCAATGCTGAGACATATTACGGCTGAACTCTGTGTCCATGAGACTCTGTGTCGGGCTTGCCAATTTGAGACTCTGTGTCGGGCTTGCCAATTACGGGCTGAGACTCTGTGTCAGGCTTGCCAATCTGAGACTCTACTGTGTGATATGCATACAACTCTGTCCATAGTTTCTGCTATCATCTCTGAATTGAATCCTCACAATGTATATGAACTTGATGTTATCTCTGCAATAGTCCTTAAGAAATATTTTTATATATAAATAAAACAATATAAATTACGAATGTTGCCACCTAAGAAAAAAAAACATGAAAAAATTATGTGTCATGATCTGCCACATTTGCTTTTAAAAACACTGCTCATGACACTAAGAGAATCACAGCAAAGGCAAAACTGTTAATGTTATTAGCAAACTGTTGTTGTTAACACCAGTAACCTTGGTCAACCGACGTGATATATGCATCAATTCCAGGCCCTACCAAGTTACTTCATTTCCACTCATATCTTCGGTATGAGCAATACAAAGAATTCCATTACTTTTTAATTAAAACTAGTTCCTATTCAATTTTTTTCCAAAGTCCTTGTTATAGTCCAATTTCTTTTATGTAATTTTTATTTATTTTATATTAGTTTGTAGAGATTTGATTCTTTCAAGAAACCTATAATTTTGGCAGGGTTTATGTTTTGGAACATTTTAAGAATTGGAACTTGGTAGTATTTATTGGGTATTTTACTGTATTTTTGCATTCTGTTAACATAATATTTACTATTAGTCTGTGATTGCAATTTGGGCATTTGTTGTCCTCTGAGCAGGTGTATGTTGGTTAATCATGTCAGCACTATTTCTTCTTAGCCAGGTACAGACTTCTTTTATTATTTAATTTGCTTTTAGTCAGTCTTCATATAGTTTATTATGTTGATTGGTAACCCATCCTGTTTGCCATTCTTCCCTTATTTATTTTGTGATTTTCTTTTTAAAATCTGTGTAGTAGTATATCTTTACTTCTGCTATTTACATATTAACAAATTTCTTGGTCAATATATCAGCTTCTTCATTCTCTGGGATACCAAGAGAATATCCAAGAGAATATGACTACTTTTTGATCTTTTATTATATTTTGGTATTTTCCTATTCTATTATGTATGTATGGATGGATGGATGGTTAGATTCTTTTTTCCTTTATAGCTATGAGGAAAGTTTGTAAATGACATTTTTGTTTTGGTAGATTGATTTTGAGGTCAAATGCCATCTTCAAGGTTTGTAATTCTACAGTAAAAATTGAGGTTTGTTTTCTTAATTCCTGTTCTTTTATTGTTTCCTCTTCTTAATGTTTTTCTTTTTTTCATATTCTTTCACACTCAGTGGCTTTATCGCCTTGCATGGGGTGAAATGATTTAAAAACAACAAAAAAAAAACTCAGGTGTCCTGATTAATATTGTAACCGAGTTTCATACTATGTGATTGCCAGATGATAACAACTGGTTCAAGAAAGCTGTTCAAAAGACAAAGAAAGGGTGTAAACATACACACTTCAATTAAAAAAAGAAATAAAATCTCAAAGTGCATGAATTTTGGTAGAGTTAGGGAATGGCAGCTACGTAATTAACAATTAAGTTTTAACTTCTATGAAGTTGTGTTGCCTCATATCAAAGAACAGAATGAGTGAAAACTAAACTATCCATTATTCGGACTGTTATCCTCATCTTCATTGCCATATTCACAACATTTCAACCTCTATATCTCTGAGATGAGGTATCATGATTATTTGCATTATTCAGACTGTATCCTCTTCTTCATTGTCATATTCACAATGACTATATCTCTGATATCATTAGTATTATGATTACTAGCATTAATTCGGACTGTTATCCTCATCTTCATTGCCATATTCACAAAAACTTCTATATCTCTGAGATGAGGTATCAAATTTGCATTAAGACTGTATCCTCTTCTTCATTGTCATATTCACAATGTTTTGGCCTCTATATCTCTGATATTATTAGTATTATGATTACTAGCATTATTTCCATTATTCGGACTGTTATCCTCATCTTCATTGCCATATTCACAACATTTCAACCTCTATATCTCTGAGATGAGGTATCATGATTATTTGCATTATTCAGACTGTATCCTCTTCTTCATTGTCATATTCACAATGTTTTGGCCTCTATAT